TATATATATATATATATATATAGTATAGAAAGGTAAAAATCCCTTAACTATTAGACCTCAAGTATGCAAATAAATAATTGAATATCCACGGATTCTTGAGATTCGTTGGAGTGCATATTACTCGTTCCAGAAAAATTATAGGAAACAGCAGAGGGTAGCATAATCAAAACATGGTATAAAACTTGTTAAGGATTCACAGTTGTGGACAAAAAAAATTAAGGTGTGCAATTTGAAACTAATTGATAAAGTGATACAGGATTGAATTTGTGGCACCAAAAAATGAGCTACCCTACATTATACATTATAAACTGGTTTATGACAAATCGTTGGGGGAAGAAAAAGAAACAAAGTAAAAATTTCCCTCAACAACAAAAAAAAAACTTAAGTAACCCATTCTGAACCAGAGCTTCATTCCCATGTGCAGCAAATATGATTTCTCCCCCTTCACACTTAAGAAGAAACCATAGACCAGAGCCACCTCTTGAACTTGCTTAAGCATCTGTCATTGGGAACCACTTTTCTGGCCACTTGGGGTATGTGCGTTTAAACAAACTCATGCATACAGTGTCATGCTGCTGGAGGATTCCATTGAAGATACACTTCATTGCCCCTGCAGATATGAAAACATGAGTTTTAACTTTCCGTTATAACATGTTAAAATACAATGTAGTATAAACATTCTTTACTCTCACAATGTATATAAGTTAAATTCATGATAAAATACATCAAAAAGAAATAGTATAAATCCTACAACAAACTCAAAATAATTGTACTTGTGGCAGTTAATAGAGCATGCAAGAAACAAGTTGTTCACCTAGAAAGGGTCAAATAGTTCGGGCATCCACAAATAGTAGAAGGGCTGAATGATCAGGGTTGCTGACCTACAAGCTGATGGTCGAGTGATCGAAGAACCCAAAGAACATGCAGAGCTTTTTCTTATTATCAAATTCAAATAATTCACATTGTGAGCATACACATGCACAACAATTAGTGAACCAATTATTATAATTCAAGCAACACAGCAAGTGCAATACTTGCTCTTTCTTTTTTTCCCTCTGATAGGCCTTTTTCCCCCTTTTGGCCAGTTGCCAATCAGAAAACTCCGATTATACACAAATGGCATGGTCAGTTAATTTTGAAAGGATGCTGCAATAGCCACAGGCCCCATAATCAAGGGGCAAATGACAAGCTTATGCATTATTTGATACAAATAACATCACCACACTAAATTGCACAACAGTGGCGAATTGTGATATCTGGACGAATTTTTTCTTCCTTTTTTTTTTTGGGTGTGTGTGTGTGTGTTATAGAACAAGAGTGGAAAGTTTCAGTATATACCCTTAATGAAAAAACTCAGTTCACATTTTAGAGACATACCATGTGTACCGACAGGTTCCTTAACGCGACCACGGCGACCACATTTTGACCAAACTTCAACAGGCTACAAAAGTCCAGATAATTTGTTAAAGGTGAATAGCTCACAAATAAGAAGATAGAAAATACAATTGTTTACATACCTTGAACCATCTGACATCCTCTGGGCTATGAAACATGTATCTTACAGTCGCTTTCAATTTTGATACTCGTTGAGGGTAACTGCAACATAGATGACATATCTTGTGAACAAAGGCTAACTAATAACAGTATCACCTACTTGCTCTCTCTACAATCATTTTTGGACTAACAAAAGCCTCAAATTCTAGAATAAAAGCAGTGCAAATTATATCATCATGAAGAATCAGCTTAGAATACGATGTCCTGACGCTAATGATTCTTAGAACAATACCATGCAAGTATGAATAACTAGAATGATATTCCACTTAACTTTTCCAAGATCTCAGTATGCATAAACAAATAACAAGAATTTCGTGGTTGACAAATTACATGTCATGTCATGCCTAGTGAAAAAGCACAATGGTTCTATATTATGGCACTAAGAAGGTTCAACCTATATAAACCAAATTTTGACCTGGAGAAAGATGAAAAACAGAAATCTAAGTTGTTCAGAAAGAAAGTTCCAGAAATAAACATCTAAACCATCTATTCCAGTGTAAATAAACGAACGCAGAGCAAAAATCGAACCGTGATAAACCTAAAACAGAATTTATAATCCCAACTCTAGCAAGTGTTAGACGTAGAGAAGCTTGGGCAATCAAACCAACCTAAACTAGCAACACTTCATTATTCCAGCCATCCTCAAAAATGAAAAATCAGACCCCTCCCACATAAACAAGGAATCTCTTAAAATGTCAANCAGACCCCTCCCACATAAACAAGGAATTGGTTATCCAAAGCCACCCCTTAAAATGTCAGAGGAATCTTACCCGGTTAAAATAATTTTCTTTAGAATAATCCTATCTGGGTCAATACTTCTCAAAGAGCCAACGGCAGCAACAGTGGCAGAAGTTGCGTCGTCTTTAATCTTCAAGGCAATTAAAGGAAGGGGAGGAAATGAAATAGGAGCATATATTGAAGCTACTGAAAAACGTCCGGCATGAAGAAACCTCTCCATTTTTTGCTTGTCAGCATTAAAGCTATCTGAAGAAAATATCGGCCTGTAATCATTGGGGGAGGGGGGAGAAAGAAGTCAGTGAACATTAGTAACTTAACTTGGCAAAAGGTTACAAAGTTTATTACACAGAAGAAAAGCACCTTGCAACAAACTGGCGAAAGCCAAGATTGAATATCATTTCTTCTTTAGCTTTTATTGGAGCAGTGTAACTGTCATGCTTTTTCAAGCTGCAAACAGAAAGTTACTTAAGTCCTTAAACAATTACAAACAAAATCACTAGGGAAAGAAAATAAGGAAAAAATGTTATAAAAGCATATAACAAGATGATGTACCTGAAGTGGAGGACAGAAATTTTAGACTCATGCTGCATCAGACCACACAGGGTCACAGGCATTGTCTTCGTTACAATATTTAACTTGTTTGCCACGCCAATTGGAACTTCCCGGATATGGAGCCTTGCATATGAACCAGCTGGTATACATTCATCAATGTTCTGTTCCATCTCT